AAACCCTTTAAAAACCCAAAGTTTTGCTTTAAAAACGGGGCACTTTTTGCCAATTTGGGGTTTTTTTTTTTTTTTTTTTTTTTTCAGTTTTTGTCTTTACTAATATCTATTCTAATTATGTGCCGTTTTCAATTGAGGTATGTCCAGACTTAGAAGAAATATCCTAAATTAAATTATTTAAATTAGTTTGGCATTGATTTTTACCCTTAACCAACTGAAAATCTGCTCTCTAAAATATACAACATATCTAAAAAAAATCAGAAGAACAAATATGTTCACTTATTGAATGAAGAGGAACTAAACTTGATTTAATTCACACATATGTGTGTTTTGGACATAATTGCAGTCAAAAAGTAACACAGATAAAGGCAGAGAGCAGAATTCATGCCTCCATTAACTACAATTATTATACAATTAATACAGTTATTGATGTATAAATTTCTAATTTAATACATTGTTTATAATTAATTATAATCATACTGCCCCCACCATGCCTGTCATTATGATGCAGTTTTTCTAAAATGGTATTGACTACATAAGTATTAGAACTTGCAGTTTTTTCTCCAAAGGACACAATTTTGCCCAGTTTCTTACTTAATCCTGAATCAACTAAACTGACCTCAACTACTAGCTAATTAATGTACACCCATCTAACCAAAACAACAACCTAAAGCTACATAAACTGTGACAACAAAGAACTGAATGAGAAAAATCACCACTGTTGTTCGTCTGCCAAACCCTTTGGCCGTGACTCCATATCACCCTTTTTTTTTTTGCCTCTCGCTCAAGATCTTTGATGTTGTGTTTAAGGTTTTAGATATTCAAGATGTTGCACCGGTTACTGCGCAACAAAGATGTTCAGTAATTCATACTAATCTTTTTCGTACATCTGTTGGGCATTGCTGACAGCTCAGTTTTTAGTTTTGCTGAGCCTGTACAGTTTGCTTTGAAAATCTTGTTTGCAATTTTATGTTCTCCATAAGCCTCTATTTGCTTACAAAATCATCCAGAATAGTAATAAAGATACATACCACATAGCTGTGCATGTGACCTTTATATCTAGTATTGATATTTAGAAAATTTCTCACTTATAAGATATCCTCACATTTAAATGCCATCTACACACAAAAAGACACATATGTATAAAAAATTAATTTCTTCTGGACTGCAGAAACTATTCCACTTCTCTTACGACTTCAGTAGAAATGTCTTTTTTTTTTTTGCCAGGCTGATGTAATCCACAGAAACGCCGTTGTTCATGTTCTGATTCCGGGTTGAGGTCCAGAGAACTGCAAGAAAGGTGAGAACATGTTTCTGTTTGTGAGGCTCGCCCTGCACTCTGAGCTTCCTCTGTATTTAATGAGCATCGCTGCAGTTTTTCCTCACAGTTGCTGCAGCTTCAACCCAGTCTGCTAAATTATTACCTAAGCTATGCTGATGGCATTTTTTGATGACATTGCAATAGCTACAAATAAATTTATGTTAAAGGTTTTAGTTGAAAGATACTTAGCTTTAGCTTAAAAATACTTAAATTATTTTCTATTCTCTATTTTTTCAAAAAAAAATCTAAAAAAATAAATCAAATAATAATGTGCAGAGCTAAAGCTTCAACACTGAAGTTTTCCTCTTTCCAGATTTCTTCTGGTTTTGCTTTTTCATAACACCTACATGTTTCCAATCATCGCATAAATTTTAATATAAGACTGATAAAATGTTTTTAAGTATTAGATTCTTTGATTTCATTCATTAGGTGAAGATCTACAAACCTGTAGAATCGAGAACCGAATCAAATCAGATTAACTCAGTAAAACAATTAACATAATGAGCCACCATAACATATACAAAACTATTTATATTTAAAATATTGGAACAATAACGATGTTGTCCCTCTGAACTTTACAGACCTGCAAGCAAAACAATCATTTTAAACCCACGTGCTCAGTTTTCATCCAGAAGTCTTAATTTACATTTCTGTGCAATTCAAGGACAGAACGATTTGAAATCTTAAGATGATGAATGAATCAATTGAATTTTTTTAATTAAAATGGTGTATTTTTTCTCTAAATGGTGAAAGAATCAGAAAGAAACTCATTTTGCTCTGAAAGGGTTCTTCTTATTTTTCACCAGAACTTGTCAAGTCAAACTGAATGCATGTGGCCATAATTCACTGATGTAGAAATCATTTAAGCCCTTTAAGTCGTTTGTTACATGCCATCTGCACAATTTCCAGGGGTGACGGCACATGGAGTCTGTGTGCAGAATTTGTAGCTACAGTATAATTAGACCCTGAACAGGTGTTTCCAAGCACACTAAAACCTTCAATCCAGCCCCAGGAGTAGCAGCAAACACAAGCAGGATAGAAGCCCATAATTTTAGCATACTGTATCCCTGGGTTGTTAGGAGTTTCACAACATCTGGAAAAGTTTGAGAAAGAAAGAAAATCTGAAACTTGTGCCACTAACAAAGAAAATTATATATTATTAGACTGTTAATCATTATATTACTGCACATAAATTATGTAGGAAGGGGAGGAAAGTGCAGATTTCTGGATGCGGTCATCTGTGGAAACAACAACGGATCCATTACAACAAGCTCATAAAACAGAAAACAAAGATTTCCAAAAGTGGGAAATGATTACACTTGTGCTCGTTTTGAGGTTGCTGGGCCCTGGGGAATGCCCTTCCTGTGGGTGTGACAGCGTATGAGACTAAAGTTTAGCAGGAAAACTGCAGAAATCTGTATCAACAGGCAGCAGAAAATGTGCAACATCCTCTGCGTTTGCAGGTGGTTGACATTTAACTCTCATTATAAACCAGCACCAAGGAACACCAGCTGCATTTTCCTACAGTGAATTTAGTGCCATTAGAAATTCACTCTGTGTAAAAAATTAAGAGGTTCTGTTCACAAGTTTGGGACTTATTTTGAAAACATAATTTGTTTAATTTCATGTTACTTAAAACAAAATATTTAAGGGTTAATTCTATTGTCAGCAACACATATTAAAAATAAAAATCACATTTTGTCAAACGTTGGCTTTTACATACCACAGCTTCATTTCATTGCTATGTTACAGTCTTCTCTGGAGTCATAATAGTTTTTAACCATCTCTTCTGTGAGGAGAAAGTTATACGTCTTTGCAAAGTGCAGGACTGTACAAGTGACTCATCAAGTCTTTACATTTTGTCTGCACAGAGCCAGGCTATTTTGTGTTACTTTAAATTAAAATAGTCTCGGTTGATGGGCTTTTATGCCTATATATCTGTTTTCGGTGAATGTTTCTTTTTTTGTTCTGCCATCAAATGTTGGCTTGTATATCATGAAAGGATTCAAAGTAGAGAAATCAGGGTGTGACGGGCAGAGACGGGCAGTAACTGGTTACACACTTGAGTATATTTCTAGGAGCTGTTGCACTGCATCCTACATTTTTCTCTTATTTTAGTGAGATTATTTTAAAGTAATGCTACTTTTACTTGAATGTGACATCTGGCTGCTCAGTGAGTTATTTCACTCACTGAAGACCAACCACAAGTTAACCAAGCAATGCAACAGATACACACACCATGTTTGTACTCGCACTCCTGTTTATCTCTGAACTCTGCTGTATATTACTTACTTACTTTAAATGTCAATTTCTGAAACTCTGATAGTTGTGAACAGAAGTGGGTGGCAACTATTTACATTTACTCAGTTATAGTTCTTTGTCGGGAAAATGTATTTTTAACGGTAGTTTTACCAGATCATGGTTTTACTTTTACATTAGTAGCATTATTATGAAGTATTTCTACTCTTTCCCTTGTGTTATTATTCCATTAATAAAATACACATTGCCCAACTTTATGTAGAATCATAAAGTTGGGCAATATGTGTGTCAAACATTATTGCCTTAGACCAATTATAAGGAAATGATGAACGAGAATAGTTGGTAACTCTATTCTGTATATTTGTAGGTTGTGTGTCTTCTTTGTGTGTGCTCCTTTTTTCTAACATGTTATTTAAAAAACAAAACAAAACCAAATTGGACAGAACCAGACAGAAAACAGTATGTTAAGTCTAATTACAGCCTCAAAAGAGACTAAACAGAGACTTCAGTTTGTTTTGTTTTTTTACACACATTGTAAAACCAGAGTTGTCATTGTTTTCTTGCAGTTTCTGTCTCATTTATGGGGGTAAAAGGACATTCTAATCTCCTTATATTGGCCCATCCAGATCTGAGACATTTTCCAGAAATTAATTAATGTGAAAAGACAACAAAGCAGGAAATATATAAGCTGCTGTCACTATTTCCATCTGGCCACATATGATGATTTAAGAAATTAATGTTGGCCGCATCTGAGCATGAGAAAGTGAAATGAAGTCCTGTCATGTTTGTAATGTAGATGTGCCACTTCTTATGCACTTCCAATCTGAATACGGCATGCATATTGGGATTAATGGTGTGGAATTCACAGTGTCCAGGCACTTAACTTTTTTTATGTCGTCTCGTTTAATTTTTTATTTTTATTTTTTTCACATCAAAGGATCAACTGATAAGCTAATAATGAAATTTAAATACTAAAAGTATGTATAGTTAGACAGTTGTTAGTCAAATTATTCAGACAGGACATTTTGGCAGTTTCACTTTTAATTTCAAGCATCCAGCATGTCGATTAAGGGTGCGTTTACACCAGCTCTGTTTGATCCGCTTTAATCAAACTAGACTAGAACGTTTGTTTGGGAGGTGTGAATCGAAAACCAAACTAAAAACGTAATTTAGCTTATGTATGTAGCGCTAGCTGGAGAAATGGATCGTGGCTATTTCTCCATAAGACGAGGGTAGAAGGTGTGTCAACAATGGCACAGACGTTTAGTGAATGTGATATGTGAGGGATAATGTAGCAGATTTTATTCCATATGTCCAAAAAAGTACTTTTCCATCTTGTCTGTCCACATCCATAAAACGAAAAACAAACACACAGATGTGTTTAACCAACTCTTCTGTGAGGAGAAGGTTGCACTTTAACAATAAAGTCTTCAATAAGGCACAACACCTAAAATAAAACACATAATGCAAAATATTATTCAGTTCAATGTTGATTAGTTTCTGCGGTACGAGGAGTTTGCTTTTCACATGGGGACAAGAGAAACATTTCTCTCTAGCAAGCAAAATGAACACTGACAGTTTGTCAGATGCAGCCTTCATGTCACCAATGAAATATTTATGAACCTAATTATCTGCAGTAAAGGACAGTATAACAAACAATGCACCCATTGATTAAACTTTTCATTATGCTTACCATGTTTATTGTCAGGATTGTTGCTGATACATTCAACATAAAGAACCACTGCTTAGTTTCCAGGGGCTTAAATATATTATAAAACTCACAAGGAACAGATTGTAAGGGAGTTGAGCTTGGAGTTTCCTAAAAGGTGAAATATATTCAGGACAGCATAGTTGTTAGTGTAATTAGTTGCTGGTTCAAATAAGGGTTTATTTTCTTTTTATACATTTTTTTATTATTATTTAAAACACTGTCAAACCCCAATCACCTTTGGGATGTTGTGGAACCAGGGAATTAAATGTTTCCAGTATATATGTTTTCCAATGTCCAGATCAATGGATTATGGATTCATGGAACAACAAATATAAAGACAACAAAGCAAAAATGTTGTAATATTTCCATTTTGACATGAGTTCCTTGAGGAACCAAGCTCAATTTAATTCAGCAGGGTACAGTTGGCCGAATTAACCTGTTGGTCTCAGGTTGTCATTCACAATGACAGGGGTGTCAAACTCCAGGCCTCAAGGGCCGCTGTCCTGCAGTGTTTAGATGTGCCACAGGTAAAAAACTGGAATGAAATGGCTTAATTACCTCCTCCCTGTGTAGATTGGTTCTCCTGAGCCTTGCTAATGACCTAATTATTCTTTTCAGGTGTGGTGCAGCAGAGGCACATCTAAAAGTTGCAGGACAGAGGCCCTTGAGGACTGGAGTTTGACACCCCAAATTTGGATCCTCTAGTGACAGACAGGTTAAATATCGGCAAAGGTAATGCGGTTGGTTCTCCAGACAAATTTCTGTTTTGTGTTCTGGGTTTTTGAGTTCAGTGGGCTGTTCTCTCGAGCACAGACACCGGGATGCTTTTTATTTTTACATCCTTATAAGTAAAATATCAGACTCACACGATTGCCGACATGTTTGGAGCACGTTTTATGTGATTTTTTTTCACATAAAACTCCAAGAATATCAAGTTACTGTTGGGTTTCTTAATTGTTTTGGTGCCAGTGCTGTGCATGCACTTTAAAGTAGCTTATTTCCTCTAGTT